CTCTCCTTTCAAAAACAGACTCCTTCTGCGTCGTGAGTGCTGTTCATTTAGCAACGGAGAACATATTAGAGCCGGATTAGCTCAACTAAAACATTGGTGCAATGATGTTGCTCAAGAGGTTGCTCACTATCTTGTATTTATTGTTATGGAGGCTATTTTCAGATGCTGTTAGCTTATGTTTCAGTACAGCCTGCAGATTCAGCTTGGGAAGCACTGAGGCACATAAGACAGGCTGCCGATTTCCTGGTGTGTATTTCATATTTTTTTCATCTTAAGATAAGAAAACCTCGGTGGCTCTCAAGACAAACTGAATTGTAGGTAAGTTGAATTCCTGACATATTTTCCTGCTCTTTTTGTTCATCAGGTCATGTCCCGAAAACCAATGAGGACATGGAGAGAGATACGCAATGAAATTTGTCCGGTAAGTGCTTTTTGCTATGAGCAAGGATCTTGTTTTGTTAATCCTCCACTTTGTATGTTTGATCGTTTTACTCTCTTTCCAGGCTCTCAGCTTACAGCAGCTAGAGAGAATAGTTGGTATGTACTGGGACGATATGAATGGCACAAACGTGCTTTCAGCAGAGGTATGTTGATAGGCTGAATCGGCGTAATCAAAACTGTTTGCTGTTCGAAGTGTTAACTTGAGCATTGTTCCCTTCTGTTTGCAGTTCACATCAAGCATGAGAGTAACCTTGCATGAAGAATCAAATAGCCTCTCCAGCTTTTCAGTCCTTCTGGATGATGATTCCAGGTATGTACCACGACCAAAAAAGAAGACCCATGGATTCCATTGTTCGCGCCCCTTTGGAACAACAACCGTTGCTCCTTTTTCACCTCTGTTTGCATTTCTCTCTTTGCAGCATACCCTTTTCGCTCGACGACATCGCAAAGTCGATGCCGAACATCGAGGACACGGTGGAGAGCGACCTGATGCCCTTTATTCGTGAAAACCAGAGCCTTGCACTTATATTGCAAAGGAGGGACTGAGTAGTTCGCCGGCCTTCGGCGAACGAGGAGTGCCTCGCTCTAGGGTGTGTATATTCTCGTAGCACAGTAGTAGAAGATAGGATGCCATTTTAATGGTGTTTTCACCGAGAATTTCTAGGCTTCTAAAGCTGTTAATAATTGTTTGGTCAAGCAGTGGTGCGTCTCTTCTCAGGGCATGTTGCCTACAGCACCCTCTTCTCCATTCTTTGGGTTGGAGTAGAAGCTGTAATTCACCAAAGGTGATAGAAACATGTTAAATCTTACTGTCATCCCAGCCGCTTGGCTATATACAAGTTCACTTGCTGTACACTGACGGCAAGGGACACAACATGCCAGGGCTCAAGGCTGAACTGACTGACTGGATAATATTTCAACCATATGAACAGAAAACAGGGGATACAATTAATTAATCTTTATAACCCACTAGGTCGAAAATCCATCTATCATATACATGTACAATTCTTGAAACCCAACGAAAAAGGTGGGTCAAGTCTCATTAGAAGACCAACTGCTAGTATGAATTCAAGTCATGTTAGGAATTATTCTTGGGTTTCCTCCGGGGTTTCAAGTCGACCACGATTACAGTGATATTGTCCTGGCTTCCTTTCTTCAATGCAAGCCTCGTCAGATAGTCTGCAGCTGCCTGCGCGGCAGGGTCGGTGGATCCATCACCTCCATCTGACGACGATGTTGTGACGCTGTTGTTCTTGTGCCACTGTTGGATTTGCCGGCGTGCGACCTTGCACGCCTCTTCGTTCGACACGACGTCCCAGAGCCCGTCGCTGGCCAGAATGAGGCAGTCGTCATCTTTAGCCCGAGGAACAACCGTAACTTCTGGTTTTGAGATGATGTATGGCTTCAAGTATCGGTCACCTGCATCATCAGCAATTTCCAGTTCAAGTTAGCAGAGATTGCAATAAGTATGGACAAATGTTATCCAATGCACAGATAAATCAGCTTAGCTATCATAAGTTCAACTAAATCCCTATGATGTTGTCCAAGTATTTTATATGTACATCAGATTTGAGTGGCACAAGAGATGTGAATAAAATTGAGGCAGTCAGCACTTATAACATGAAAACAGCCAAAAGAATAGAGGGGCCGTTTGGATGGCGCCCGGGCCGCCACGCCAAATCGCGGACAAGCCAAAAAGATGGCGATGAAATTCACCGCCACGGATCTGCCCTGGCGTTGGCGCAGAAAACAAACTAGCGACCAAAATTTTGGCTCCCAACCAAACAGACACGCACACTGGCGGTCAACGCCCATATTTTGGCAAGGCGAGCGGCTGTCATCCAAACAGCCCGAGAGACTTCAGGTTTCCATAAATGAGGAATCTTAAAATCAAGGGAAAAAAGTGCTACGAGTTAAGTGTGCATTTTGCCACTGCCTAGTGCGTATCTCAATTAAGCGCACACAAGCATGATTACATGCTAGGCGTTCTGTTGTCGCCTAGCGGCTAGCGCCTACTGCTTAAAATGGTACCAAGTAACGACTAGCGCCTAATGCTTAAAATGGTACCAAGTAACGACTAACGAGAAATAACTCCTCAAGCACAGCTACTTTCCTGGATTTCAAACAAACCAGCAGCGCGCGAAGACATTTACCACTATCACACCGGGCCAAGCAATTTTGCGTCATACTTTGATGTTGCTATGATTACAGTTTCAAACTCAACGGGTGGTCCTAAATATGACGCGTGTCATATGAAAAATAGCAACACATTGTACAAGATAAATTATAGCTGCATACCAATGGATCGTGACATAGCAAGTATGCCGGACACTCGGTGTCCATTCCATTGGATGACCTTGCCTCCCGCAGCCTCAATCCTGGCGCGCTCATCCTTCCTGTCAGGCTGAAACAACAAGGCATAATCAGATTAATAAACCCCAAATCATGGATGCTGTGGCCAATACCATGATGCTCACAAAACCATATCTACCTTCTGATCAATTGAGAGAGCAACAGGCTCCTTCCCGCGCGAGAGCACGATGCGAGAATCGCCGCAATTGGCGACCACTACATGAGAGGAGCACACTACCACTGCAACCGCCGTGGAGCCTACGTTCTCCGCGGCGATCGGGTCTGACCGGGGCTCTCCGTCGACGAGCCTGCTTGCAAGCCCTGACACCTCGTCGTCCACTGTCTGGAAACACCTGGTGAAGAGGTCGTCCCAGTGCTCCTTCATGTCCACATCGCTCATCTCCCCCAGATCGCTGGGGGGCTTCCTCAGCTCCTTGCTCAGCACGACGTGGAGCCTCTCCCGGCAGTAGTTGGACACCTGCGCGACGACAAGGGAATCCACAGATCGTCAGATCACGGGGCTAGCTCGGGTGGGGCCGCCCGGGGCGGCGACGAATCCAAGGGGAGGGGAGGGGGGTTCCAGACCCGGGCGTGCATACCTCGGAGCCGCCGTGGCCGTCGAAGACGGCGAAGAGGTGGGAGGGCAGGCGGAGCGCGTCGGCGTCGAGCCCGAGCCCTTCGAGGTCGCGGCGCCGGGCGAGCAGGCGCACGGGCACGTCGGCGAAGCGGGGCACGGCGGCGCAGGCGTCCTCCATCTCCCCGCCGCGCCCCGGCGTGGCGACGCAGCCCCACACCGGCTCGCAGTCCATGAGGTAGACGCTCCTCTTGCCCCCCGCCACGAGCGCCGCCCGGCCGTCCCCGAGATCCAGCCGCTCGACCCCGCCGCCCGCCGCCGCCGCGCTCTCCGGATCGCGCGGCGCCGGCTCGTCCTCCCCGCAGATCGCCGCCGCCGCCGCCATCTCGGCCGACGCTAAAGAACCTCCGCCCGCCTCGCGAACTGAAAAAAGAACCAGTCAGCAGCCGACTCGCCGACGCGCCGCAGCCAGAGACACGCGCCGGAGGGGTACGGGAGGGAGGTAGCTATAGGTGGGGGGAGGAGTGGTGGGTGGAGCGGAGGAGGGTGGGGGGGAGGAGGGAGGATGACGGTGTGGAGCGCGCGCGCGTGTCCGGGGAGGGGAAAGGGAGGTGGGGGGAGGGGGCGCGCCGTACCGGGCAGGTCTTCTTCTCCTCCCTTCGCTCGACTCTTCCGGTGTGTCTGCTGCCGGAGGGGTCCGCGTGGCCGTGGCCGCTCCCGATATTATGTCTTGTCGCCCCGGGACACGGCTTCTGCTACCCTCACGCCACCCCCCGTACACTTGTTCACACCCGTGCTGATTTGTCACTTGCTTTTCCTTTCAACAACATACATTTGTCACTCGCTTTGTTTTCAAGAACGTACATCTGTCACTTGCCTTTTATGCTCGAGGGGAAAATGGATGGTGTTATTAAGAAGGCACACATGGGCTAGTTTGGGGATGCCTTGGTACATCGTGTGCTCTGCCTCTGCTCGTGAAATTTCACCATGTCGGTACTCCCTCCGTTCGGGTTTGTAAGGCATCAGAGCAAAATGGCCTCCGTTCCGTGCCCTTTGCACGGGCGCATTGTACTGGGCAATTGGTCGGTATGGTACTGTGGCCTGAAGCGGCGGCTTGCTCCCGGCGGTGCATGGGCCATGCAGGCGCGACGTGCGAAAATTATACACGTGGGCATTAGCACGTGCGGGGCGACCGGTGTAGTGTGCGACCAAAACGACATTTATTCTCTTCCGCACGTATTGTCCGTTTCGAAACTCAAATTCTCGACGACTGTTCTCTTGTTGCGTGTTGGCTCTGTGTTTTTTGCCCTCTAGCTCGAACCCGACAGACCCTTTCGAAGGGAGTAATCGTCGCAAAAAAAAAACCATCGAAATAGTCTTGCATATTACAATTAACATCTGCCATTCCGAGGCGCGCTGGGTTAAAACTGTTTTATGATTTTGAGAAGCGGTGGGTGTCGTATGAAAAGTGGTGGGGGGAGGAGGGAGGATGATGGCGTGGAGCGCGCAGGCGAGGAGGGAGTAGGAAGGATGATGGTGGGTAATAAAAAAAATTATTTGAAGCAGGAAGAATAAATTATTATTTTTTTCGAGGGAGAGAGAATAAATTATTTGAGGCATGGATTTTAAATGAAAAAAAACCCAGGGATGCTGAAAATAAATTGGAACGTATCCTCCGATGGTGATACTATCCCGGCGGCCTTTTCGGGATGGGCGACACGAGCAGACAAAATTAATTGAACAGTAGGCTGCGGGGGACCTCAAGCCTGTGGCTGTGGAGCACACCACCACGTGTCCGTTGCCGTTGATTTTCTTTCCGAGGTAAAAGCACCCCAGGTACCCTAACTTGCACAACATGTGATATTTTAGTCCTAAACTTGTGAAAATCAACCCCACCATACCCCAACTTGCACTGCATGTGACGTTTTAGTCCCAGGCCAATGACAGAACGACATGTGGCAGCCAGGTGGCTGGCCCGGTCGTCGCACGCAGTTTTGCAAAACGCCCCCTGCCATTTTCTCTAATCAACCCGCAGTATAGCACACCTGTCCAGTCTGTCACGGCTCTCCTTCGACTGCACCCCGTCGGCCGCCATGGCGGCGGCGGCCACCGTGTGCTCGCCGCGCCCGTCCGCGGCGCTCCGGCCGCACCGGTCCGGCGACGTGGAGTGGGCGGCCATCCGCGCGCTCTCGGCCTCCTCCCCTGCGACCCCGCTCGGGCCCAGGGTCTCGTGGCGCTCTGTGCGCTCCGCCCCCTCGCAGGCCACCACGTTACAGATCTGCCGGCCGAGGTACACCTCAGACATGACCTGGTCCGTGCCGGCGGCGGCAGGAGCAACAGCTGCCCCCCGATGAGACTTCGGATGGGCCGCCGGAGCTGCCGCCCTCGAGGGAATCGAACATGGTGGAGTAGTAGTGCAGCGAGTCCAGGAATCGAACATGGTGGAGTAGTAGTAGTGCTCGGTGAAGCGGTCCAGGAATGTGCCGGAGTTGTGGTTCCCCTCCTGCTCCACCACGGTGACGATCCTCGGCCGCACGGCGCGCACGGTGCCCAGGACCTTCTCCATGGCGCCGGGCTGGGCGAGCAGCCGGTGCATCTCGAAGACTGAGTTGACGGAGATTACCTCGGGCTCCTCGTTCGAGTCCTCCGGCTGCAGCATGAACGGCTCCAGGTCCGCCAGCGTGGCGGCGCCGAGGCCGCGGTACTGGAAGTCGACGCGGATGGTGTACGCGAACTGGGCGAGCTTCCAGCCCATCTGCTGCAAGGCGTCGGTCTCGTCCGGCTGCGGGGGGCCGACGCCGGTGAGGCGGAACGAGGGGGTGCCGCCGGGACGGAGGGCTAGGGCCTGGAGAAGGGCGGGCCACTGCATCCCCTGCTTGAAGGTGGTGGACCGGCGCGCCGTGGCCAAGAAGCACAAGCTGGAGCGGGCGGCCGCCGAGAAGCGCATCCTGCGGCTGCTCGACCACCCGTTCCTCCCCACGCTCTTCGCCGACTTCGACGCCGCCCCGCGCTTCTCCTGCGTTGTCGTGGAGTTCTGCCCCGGCGGCGACCTCCACTCCCTCCGCCACCGCATGCCCTCCCGCCACTTCCCGCTCTCCTCCGCCCGGTTCTACGCGGCCGAGGTGCTCCTGGCGCTCTAGTACCTGCACATGATGGGCATCGTCTACCGGCTACCGCGACCTCAAGCCAGCCGTCGCCGAGGAGGAGGAACAGGAGGAGCCGTGCAGCGCGTCCTGCTTCCCGATACGTTTCAAGCGGCGGAGGCATCGTCGCCGGTGCGCGGCGTGCCGGCGTCTCCCCTGCGGTTTGTGGCGGAGCCGGTGTCTGCGCGGTCGTGCTCATTCGTCGGCACGCACGAGTACGTGGCTCCGGAGGTGGCAGGCGGCGGCGCGCACGGCGCCGCCGTGGACTGGTAGGCCTACGGCGTGTTCCTCTACGAGCTCCTCCACGGCCGCACCCCGTTCGCCGGCGCCACTAGGACACGCTAGCTCTGCAACATCGTCCGTGCCGCTCACCTTCCCCTCCTCCTCCGTCACCGGCTGCCACGCCGACACCACCGCGGCGCGGGACCTCATCACGCGCCTGCTCACCAAGGACCCCGCCGCTCGCCTCGGGTCCCGCCACGGCGCCGCCGACGTGAACGCCCGCCCCTTCTTCAAGAACCTCAACTTCGCGCTCCTCCGGTCATTGCGTCCGCCCGTCGTCCCCAGCGCTCCGCTGCACCGGTCGCAGTCGTGCAAGATGCCGGCGTCGCGCAAGGCTGACACGAAGCGCTTCGACCTCTTCTGACCGGCCGGCCGACGTGTAGCCTCCCTGAGTCAACACCGGCGGCTGGATACAAACTCTCCTCCAGCCATCTCGTGGCGCCGGGCGCAACGTTAACCCCTTGATAATTACTACTACTCTTAGCTAGCCTACGGGACAATGCATGCAGTAGTATTAGCTGCCAGTGCACCGTTGTACAATCAACTGTTAATTACGCTTCTTAGTGCTGTTAATCTTCCATGTGTCAGTGCTTGTCTTGTGCTCTGACAGTTATCGAGGTTACACTTGTCAGCAACAGCTAAACCCTCGGCTTAATCACTCCATTTTCTACTTAAGGACGTGTGTGTGGTTTAGTGAATCATGTCGTGGCTTTGACACTGATTATTGATCAAGGAGTACACTGATTAGTTTTGTAGGTGGGTTAATGATGTGGTAGTGCCATCGAGAAAAGCATCACATGGGTGTTGGAGCTGTCTGGTTACAGATTTAATTCAGGTGTGCTATACTGCAGGTTGATTAGAGAAAATGACAGGGGGGATTTTGCAAAACTGCGTGCGAGACCGGGCCAGACACCTGGCTGCCACATGTCGTTCTGTCATTGGACTGGGACTAAAACATCACATGCAGTGCAAGTTGGGATATGGTGGGGTTGATTTTTGTAAGTTTGGGACTAAAATGTCACATGTTGTGCAAGTTAGGGTACCTGTGGTGCTTTTACCTCTTTCTTTCCCTCCCTCGCAGTTTCCTCTCTTTCCGGCCGGCGGCCCCACCCATCCATCCGTCCCGACACGTTGCCGTCCAGGTCCGTCGCCTTTCTAGGCAAGCGGGGCCCGCGCGCCCCAGCTGGGCCAATGGGGCGGCGCCACTTGCCCGGACGCGGCGCGGGTGGGCAGGCGAAACTGCCTGGCCGCGTGCGTACGGATGCCCGGCCCGATCCATGCGGCCGCGCCATGTGTCGCCCGCCCGTGGGAGACTGCCAGGATAGCGTTTGCGCGTCCCAGGTTGCACGCAGCCGGGGTATCCATCTATCTAAAAAACCGGAGAGGTTCATCGGAATTGTTTAGCGCAGAGCGGGACACGTCGTGGTGCTACGTGAATGGCGTGAGGCGTGAGACGAGAAGGACGTGTTACGCGTACTACGGAGGAATGGATCGCGATGGCAAGGCGAAAAGGTGGTTTCAAGTGTACATCCATCCGCCACAGGTGGGGTTCTCGTCGTTAAAGATGGGTGTGCTTTTCTCCTTTGTGCGTATACGTACGTGGGTGGACGGGCGTTGGTCCGGTCGGGTCGAGCGAGGAGGGTTCGAGACGGATTTGATCGATCAGGCCCGGCGTAGGTGCCCGACCGGATCGGCGGACGGGCGTGGGCGGGCACATGCGGGCGCGGGCGCGTGGGGGCGTGTACCGGCAGCGACGTGACGGGCGAGGCCGGCGCGTGGCGACGGACGTGCCCGACAGGGGAACCGGACGCCGTTCCTTCGATCCGTCGAACCCAGCTGGGCTTCTATGCTAGCACGACGCCGCGCGTGCGACCAGGCCACCAGGCGCGGCGTGGGCGAGGGCGGGGGAGGAGAGCTAGCAGATGCGTAGTGGGATTTGCGTGCGTGCGTGCGTGCGGAG